ATCAATTTCTCCATGATTTTTTGCATACTCATTAACAAAGCCATTTTTATATCATCCTTGCTCTTCAAACTATCTAGCATAGTCTTACTACTATCTTTCAACTCTCCAAGACATCATTCCAAAAACAAATCCTCTCTTTGTTTAGGCTCCGGTGATTTTGATGAACTCTTCTCACTTTTTTGCTTCGTTGTATTTGTCTCCGAAGTGACGCTGCACTTCACTCCATCTCCGTCCATAACATCGGCATGGGCATGTGAAACATCGTTTGCTCTATCAAGCATAAACTCGTCCACCAAGAGATACCATCGTCATTTCTCCGATCGTGTAGATCCCGACTTCATATTCATCGCCTTGTCTTCTTTGTAATCGTTATAGATGGAACTCCACTTTTTTCTACATGCTTCATTGTCTTCATTAAAATCAGAACACATTGACACAAGTTTTGTGTGAAGCCGTGACCAATTATCAACACCTAAACTAAACACAAACGCATAAGAGTGAATTAAAAAACACAAACAAATAGAATTGACATACACCAAATTACTAACTCACTAAGATAAGCTTTTCTGATCATGTAGAGTATCTATTTCTGATCATGTACAGTATCAAGGCATACACCAAATTACTAACTCACTAAGATAAGCTTGTCTGATCATGTATAGTATTAGGGCATACACCAAAATTACTAACTCACTAAGATAAGCTTTTCTGATCATGTTCAGTACCTCTTTCTTATCATGTACAGTATTAAAGCACTATCTAGGACACCCCCATGTATTGAAACTGTCATGCAATAAAAATACAGGCCCAAAACATGCAAAAGACTTCGATCTGAAGAGGTTGACGGATTTTCAAGGCAATCATACAGAGAGCATCCAGAGCAGAAGCAACATCTCAAGAGATCGCTAGTCTCTCTGCAAGGAAAATAATGAAATGAATTACAACAACATTCAAGTATACTTCAAACAAGCAGAATGAAAATAGAACCAAAGAATGAAGAGTGCATCTTGCTCTTCATAAAGTACATAGACTGCATAATGTGGATACTATTCTTGCAAAACGTGAAAATATGTGTGAAATACTACGTGGTGCAAGACCAATACTTGTGAATTGACACAAATATATTTCCAGCTTACACTCTGGTTAGTCACAGCACATACAATAAAACTATGAGAAAAAAAATGAAAATTTGTTTTGCAACTTAATAATTTTGAGAATTCTCATGATTTGAACTCAAATCGTAAAGAAGGGAAAAGGCATCGAGGAATAACACCGTAATACCTCATATGTAATCTGCTTGAAGTATCTACTTGTTATCAGTCATAAACCTAGAGCAAGACCAAAGATTTGAGGAGAGAGAGTAGGAATATATCGCTGTAGAGTAAGTGAGGGTAGAGATAAGTAAAGAAGTTACAAGCGAGTTCAAATTTCTGGATTGTGAGAATCTGACATCAAAACATAGCTCGGGAGAAAACTGCAAAAAGCGAAGAAGATCATGAAGGTAAAGGGTAAGGAAACAGACCTGACTTGGCTAATGAACCTACAAGTAAATTGCATGTTAATATCACGGTAAAGAAGGTTTTTGACCCGTTTTTGTCCGCCATGCAGAACTTTTGCAGCATAGTCATCAGAGATCAATTTATATATGGAACAGGGAGACAAGACAAGGCCGTTGCTTTGGCCTCGCCCTCCTCGCCCGCTTTACGGACCCGCTTTCCGCTTACCTCAGCGTGGCATCGGATAAGCACAAGTAGCTTTCTATACTCAAGACATGGCAGATCGTGTCCAAGCTGTTACTAGGAAGCCTGGTTTGGCTTAATCTCAAGCTTCATGCGATGTGCAACCAAAGCTACATGTGAACAAACTGGATATAATCGGCTCAGTGTGTCCCTTGGATGGGACTATGAGTTCAAAATATGTTTCAATCCGCTAAGTTAGGAGCTAGCTGAGGTTGTAGGAGGAATCATAGCTAGAGAGAAGAGAACTCAAATGGATCTAAATTACCTACTACGTATAATGTACACAACAGGGCTCAAAAAGCATAGACTGTTACTATGTAACTTCATCTAGAAAGTACACGGAGCCTGTGCATTTGAAATTATCATTTGTTAGGCTCAATGAACAATAGCAGAAGGCATGAATTTTTGAAGTGGAAATACCTGAGAAGTGATCGTACTCCACATTTAAATGGATCTGGTTCAAGATGAAAGCAAGTTCCTCACATAGCTTCGTATAATTCATTTCCTTCAGAAAGATGGAAAGTACGACTACTTCATTTCCACATATGTATCCATGTTGGAAATAAACTTGAGTCCAAGGCATCGACTTCAGCTAGCCGGAATGGATTCCAGTCTTCACTTTATCAACATCTGCTGCTCAGTGCTCCTAAGGACTTCCAATCTTTCATTTAGGTTGTCCGTCATCCGTGCAGGTGTTGAATGATGATCTACTTCTGAACAAAAATATATCATCTGATTCAGAAGTAGATCCAAGTTTCAATGTCTCACATGGAGCTGCTAGAGTACGGGAATGTGGCTTTCAATCAAGTCGTTCGGTTCAGTTCAGGCCACATTTGTTCAAAGAATTATAAACGCACATGATTGGAAACATCGAATAAGTACTTGACACTGATGTGTACGAATTGGCCACACAGTGACGTGAGTCGTTTGTGGTGAGTTAGAATGACAGACGGAGCAAGAGACATAGAGCTTTTGCGAAATGATAGAGAGAGTGAGTGCTTCACACATCATATTGTGATTCAGAAGTAGATCATTTGATTTAGAAGTTAAACTACGCTCAACGCTTATGACTCAATAATTATAGGCATTCTGAAGGGTGCATATACTTATCACTACAGCAACTGAAGTCAATGAATATGCGACTCACCTTGCTTTGGCGGGGTTGAAAATGCACTATGCATTTCTCCTTGCATTGTGATCAATTGGATGATCCAATGATCCTTTCAAAGCCCATTACTCTTTGAAACGTCGATTTCCTCTTTCACGCCGTCCACCTGAGTAATTTCAGGTTTTTTATGAGCAATTCTTCGTTTCTTGCTAGTTTTCGTCGGTATAGCATCACCTTCACTGAATTTGACTTTCTGATTACCAGTATTGAATCCAACGGAGAGTCTTGAAGAAATGTGACTTGCCGGCGGAAAGTGCATTCATGGGAGTGAATGCACGAAGGACTGTCGAAAAATAAAACCTGGGTGTGGAAACTTTATGAAAAAGAGCGACATTGGAATGGTAGTACTACCCTGCGCATTGATATCCGACTCCATAACGGTACAGTTGGAACCTGATGCATTATTCGCGAAATCATATGGCGGAGTTCCCTGTGACTTCATCGCGTCAAGAAAATCTCAAGAAATCTCCTATCGAGTAGAAGTATTCTTCGAAGAAACTTGAAAAAGGCGCGAATGTCCACGTGGAGTTGGAGTTTCCATAAAAACCGGGGTTCCAGGCGGAAGTGCCTGATACTCCAGAGCGATAGTTTTTTTTGCCACCTAGGATTTTTCTAATTGCCGCTCCCTCTCGTGTGGTAAGAGGGGCAGCCGAACTACCAACGAGAGTAGAGTATTCTTTGCTGGTGCCAGTCGTGTGGTTTGGCCCTTAGTACCAAATCTTTCGTGGAATTGACTTATGTTTATGTGCTTAACAGAATTCATTCTTGAAATCTATATATCTGACATTTGTTGATACATGTGGCCTACATCAAAGAGATATTTACTGAGGTTTTAACTAGTTTTAGAACACAGTGGAACATACCCTTTGAACTGTTCTCTTATAGTATAATAACATTAAACAAAGTTAAAGTGTTATTATATTACAATACTTTAACTATTATAATCTAATTTGTAATATAAAGTGCTAGTTTTTTACTACAGAAAGCTGAACACGAGATCAACAAATCAAATCATGGAATGTACAAACTTCTCTGAAATATATTTAGCTTCATGGTTATAATTAGACAAAAAATCTCAATAATTACATCGGTTGATGATTGAATTGATCAAGAATGAAAATAATAATGGATGTTTCAAACTGATATGAACGTTGGATGAGCATAATAAGTGGAGTCCTTGGATTTCATTATAGCATGTAGCATATTTTCCATTCCACAATATTGGCGTGCTAAAAAGCTATTAGTACAGGTAATACACATTTATAAGCTATGCTGAATGAGCTGTAAGCTGAAACATTTTCTATAAGTAGGATCCAAAGATATTAACAAATTTTGCTATAGTTATTCATCCTAAAAGGAGAAATAACTGTGTAAGAATCAATGTACGAAGAAATTTCAAAAGAATGATTTCGAAATAATTTTTAGTGATGAAAAGATATAAATTTTATATTAGATTAACCTGGTGGTAAAATGTCAATGATGAAAAAATTGTGGTAATTTTGGTAGTTACAACTTCACCAATAATTAAATTTTCTGTCAACTGGTGGAATACATTGCATCAACCTTCAAGCATTAGCCAATTTGGTACTTCAATACATATTTCTATGCTCATTCCAATCTTTTTAATGTTTGCTAGCTTCTTCTTTCTAGCTGGGATTTTTTTTATTTTGGAAACATGTCAAATAATTAGATCTTTTTATTTTCAGCGAAAAAGCCAATGATTTTCCCAGAGCCTTGTCAATTTTTTCCTTTTTTCGTCAGTTTTTTTTTCCTTTTTTGTCAGACAGTCCCCGGTCCCGTCTGACAGTGCCCCGCCCTGCGGAAGAACAATCAAGCTCTATGAGAAGAAAATTTAATGAACTATATGACAATAAAGAATAAGCACGAAAATAGTTATTTCTGTATTTTTTTAATTGTTTCATGATGGAACGTGTGTTATGATTCAGAGACAGATCAGTTGTAGTTTATGAACGGGCCTTCTGCAATGGGGTGTTAACTCCTTCCCCTGATTTGAAGCATGTCAAAGATATGCCAAAATCATGATGCCTACCGTAATCTAACATTTGGACCGACCTTGTTGTAGGAGAACATGGTCGTCCCCGAGCTGGTCCGGAGGACGAAGTACTGTAACTTAAGAATGCCGTCGACAGTGCAGTCTGCGGCCTTGCGAAGGACTGCCTTCGTGTCCTGAAGGTGCGCTGGGTCCTGGTCCGGGTGTCTTTTCTCTTCTCGTTCCTCTGGCCTCGTCGTCGTGCGGTGTTCATGTTGGTGTGGAGACGACGAAAGCGAGTAGAGGATCACAGCTAGCATTGCGCCGAGGGCGGAGCGGGTTCAATTTCTTGATAAGCGCACTGGCTGTTTCGACGGATCTTCAGCTAGGAGGACTGGATGTTTAACTGGGACTTGGATGGACTAAGATTTGGGTGAATCAGGGCAGGAGATTCTCGGGCCCGGGATTGGAAGGAAGGGAGGTTGTTGTGACTTCTTTTGGATCGACAAATACCGCTGTGGCTGCAGGTTGGAATTTTGATTGGCACTTGATTCTCCGCAGAGGCAGCCATGATGATGGGCGATGCTGGAATTGAGGCCAAAGAGGCCGCTGTGCGGGAAGTCGCTAAGCTTCTCCCTCTGCCCGACTCTCTGGCTATTATCAACACCATTCGTACCGATTACGCTTTGCGGCAACAGGTAGTTGGTCATTTTCGTTCTTGTTTCTCTTCTGAATTTTGAAGCGAAACGGTTTGCTGCTATTTTAACTCACAAACAGATTTATGGATCCCTTGACGCGTGGGAGTACCATTGGATTTTTGGGTGCAGCACAATGATGCCCAGCTTAGTACCAGCGTCATGACTCAGGTGACTTCATCTTCTTGTTTTCATTTTTGGTATCGTAGAAGGTGTTTCTTTCTGTTAGCTGCGATCTGTCTCGATCGTAAGTTTGGATGCTCAACTGGAAGCAAACTGATGCATTGCATTTTTTCCCGTCCGAAAAGGTGGAGCACGCAAGGGCGGGCATTGACGTTTTATCAGCAGCCCAGTCGACAATTGCTAATCTTCGCGAGAATTTCGTGCTCATTGATAAGTACGTCATGACTTTTTACCAAGTGGCTTCCTTCCACTTAGTTTCCCGTCTGTTTGTAGTCTGGTCATGGGTGAAGGTAGTGTTTCCGTAGAACAGGGTGTTACACAGCCTAAACTTCTTGCGTTGTTAGTACTCTGTACCTTCACATGAGGTGCAGTCGTCTCATCAAAGTCTGTCCAGGACATTGCACGGATTTCATCTTCAGGAATTTCCAGTTTTGGGTAACTAGCCTGACTTCTTGATTTGTAAAGTTGCTTAGAAGGAAGTTCCCCGAAAATGTTCGAAGTAAATCATTCTCGCTTGCTTACCTGCCTGCGGGATTTACCATCATTTGAGAAGGACCACCTTTTGTTATACACATTCTCCAAAACGCAGACCACAAGGGATATCCGTGTTGTACCTCATGGTGGAGTTCGATGGATGCGTTTTTAAGTTATCGAGTCCAAAGTATTATATGTTTGTTGTACTATACTAATCGAATTATGGCCATCTTTGAGAAAACAAATACTGGATTGTAAAAGTTTGGTATCGGATGTAAAAATTGGACAAAGTATGTTCACTTCATACCACAGCTTTCCCGCATTGGAAAGTCCTTCTTACGACTTGTGTGCACTATATTTACAGGCTTTGTAGAGAATGTCAAACTCTGATTGAGCACCACGATCTAATCAAACTTCTGAGCAATGCGAGGAATAACCTCAACATGACTTTAAAGGTAAGCAGTAGAGTCCCCTAAGTTGTTCCTCAAATTTATGTTGCCCTCAACAAGCAGCCTCACTGTCTCAGCCTCAGGTCAGCCTCAGCCTCAGCCTCAGGTCTGCAACGAAAGTTCGCAGAACTCAATCTTTTTCCGGACGTTCACGCTTACGGATTATCACTTCAAAAGTGCTCTATCATAATTAATGTTGTTTATGGCAAGAGGAGAGTTCACAGCTTTGAACAGAGGTCCCTCATCATATATGGAAGATGTTTTTGTCGTAATATTCCATCTCGCGATATTAGACAGCATTTACTTCGAAGCTGCCACACTTTCACATAGTGAAAGTGGGCTTCGAGTTATCTCAACCCCCGCGCGGTCGAGCGCTCAAACTTATGCACCTCGGTAATCACTGATGAAGCAGCCGAGAGTACGCGGAGGGAATCTCACGATTTTTCTTCGAATATCATTGATGGTTATTAAAAGCCTTTCTCGTACAGGAAGGGCTGTTACTTACTGCTCTATTACTAAAGGTTTCCAGTTATTTCCCATATGCAGCCGGACTTCTTCTCTTACTAACTTTTGTCACTTCCTTCCATTCCTCTATCTTGTTTCGATGTAATTTGTCTCTTGCATCTTCACGCAGTCTCTCCCTCTATATACTAGATTACAGGATAAATTCAACGTGCCCAGTGCTCTCTGACCTTGGTCCGCGCCGTTTTGATCCTTGCGGTTGATTATGTGATATGTAACCCGTTACTTATGTTCATTCCATTTTCTCTCGCTTGTTCAGGATGTCGACGGTATGATGTCCATCTCAACTGAAGCTTCAGAAGCACGAGCGTCCTTGAAAGATGATAGAGAGCTGGTTCGCACATTTGAGGTGAAGACCTCGGGTGCAGTGATTCAATTGATGTATTTTGGTGCGCAATGTGCAAGACACGTCTTGTGTTTGTCCAGTGGTGATCCGATACGCAAAGTTGCCATTCTGCATAACTAGATTTTTAGACAATGTTATTAAAGTGCGTGTAGGTATAACCACTACATTGGTACTGCCGATTTGGTGTGTAGAGGCTGACTGCTCTGGAAGGGAAAAGGAGATTTGCACTAGCGACAGTGTCGTCTCGTAAAGAAGAGGCTAGTAAGTTGACGTAAGCGTTTTAACTTTCATGACCTGTGTTGAAAACCTGGCGTTAAGCTTGGCAGACACCAACAACAGAAGTTTTGCCAATATTAATTTCCATCGACTACTTCATTATTCTCCTTTTGTCAATCCTTGTCTCAATACGACGAGTGTATGCAAGCGTTATCAGATCATTAAGTTGGCCAAGTATGGACTGTTTTGCGAGTTAAGTTTTTTTCTTTTGTCATTGATCACATGTTCGTGCTTTGTGCCGATTAACATTCATGACTGCAGTCCAGATAGTTAGTTCTCCAACTGACGCATTAAGTTAAGGAAGCAATTCTTTAGCGAAGCTAGAGGTCATTTGACAATCTCTTTACGTCCTAATTCTTTATCTCGCAGTGAGTATTTTGAGGATGTCAACAACACGAGGGCGAAGTTTGAGCAGACACTTTGGGGGCATATTGCGAATTTCTTCCAGCTCGCTAAGGAAAGGTGCTACTCTGGCATTTAGTTGTGAAAGTATCTTTCTATTTGTGAAAATATCTTTGCAGAATTCAAGTCCTGCGGTCAACCCATGATATACGTTTTATAATCGATGTTGACCAGTTTGCCGAAGCATGCGAATTATACAGAGGTTTTGCTACTGTAAACAGTGCATTGAGAGGATCCAGTTTTTGATGCGGCAATATTATTAACATCCTGGCGGGCTTTAATCTTGTGCAGTCCACAGACACTTGTGCGCGCCCTTAGGTATGACTTGATATCCCTCTTTCATTTTGAGTTCGGTGAGATGTTCTAGTCCTATGCCTTAAACAGTTGTTCGTATGTTGTCAAGTCGGAAGATGGTTGTCTGTTCTACGATCGATGTTCATGATGTTGGGTTCTCAGTCTCAACTTCTGTGTATATGTCTGTGAGGACTCTTTCGTGGCTTTAGCTATAAAACGTAAAAATTAAAATTAAAATTATAAAAAATATCAGGTCGTTGATCCCACTGAAATCCTGATCGTCCTGATGAATGATCAACGATTTATGAGACGTGAAAGTTGAAATAGAGGCACTTACATCATTGTCTTGTGAAGGGTGATTGAAATGCAGGAAATTCTAGATCAGCAACAGGCTGAAGAAGATGCTGAAGCCAAAGGAGCTGGACCTATGGCTCAACCTACCACTCGAGGTGCTCGTAAGTAAGTCAATTCGATGGGCCCCGCTCTTCAACTTTCCTTTGTTGAAGTGACTCCAATTCAAGTATCATGTGCCAAATGTAGTAATGTAAGATTCTTCTGAATCGAAGTTGCGGAGTCTGGATTTGAACTCAGGTCATTTTATGATAGTTACACCTGGTTATTGTCTTGAAGACAGACTTAAAATCTGTAAGGTATCCTGCTAGGGTTGTTCCTGTCTTGTCGTCATCATCAACTATGAATGTGCTGTGACAGGTCTTCGCAACTTGGACCGAATGGGAAACCGCTGATACCTCTTCCATCAGGGGAGCAGCCAGGTCAGAAAAATTCAACAGGTGGACGAGGATATAAGGATCGGTGTTACGAAGAGATTCGCAAATCCGTCGAAGGCCGATTCAACAACCTTATAGGCAAAGTAAGCCGTCTTCGAATACTTCCCTTGTCATGCTTAGTAAGTCTAGGTTGTGACAGATGCATAATTGAGTACAATACTTTTGAGCGTCCCTTGTATAGTCGCATGTAGAATGAATAAGGCGCGTATCTGTCATTACATTGAGTCCTAAGCCAAGCTGTGTTGTTGGAAAAGCACATGGTGCTTTGCTACCACTGTTGAATACAGCACATTTCATGCTGTTTGCCAAATGATACTCACGGATACGATCTTTCTCTATTTCTTCTGGAACCTATTATCACTTGTCGGCTTCCAGCTGTCCTTTCATATTTCTCGATTCTTCAATGTCCATTCCTCCCTGCTCTCCCTCTCTCCTTCCCGAGCACCGTCAATTCGTTGCATAGGTTCGACGATCTTCAGGCTATGACACACACTTACATACCTATGCGCCGAGTTTCTTCGTGTTTTGTATCGTCAATAGCTTGTTACATTCGTAAACCATCGAGCCTAACTTTCAATCTGGTGCTCTCTTCAATATTGAGAGGTTTTCTACGTTTACATTTATCTCTATGGTTGTTACTTATCTATTTGCAGCTAGTCATGGAAGAGGACTTGAAGGCAGCACTAGAAGAAGCGAATTTTGTAAGTGAAATTTTCGGAACCCAAGACTACATTGCTCATTCCCGTTTGAAGCTCAACATTGATGCTCGTAGATGTATATAGACGAGTGAGTATTGCTGCCTTGTTCAGTTCAACTTTGTCTTAGCTTGAACTTGAGTGGAAAAGATGTGAACCACTTTATCGGAGATTGCTATTTGTGTTTTTAAATGTATCGATTTGGTTTTAGTTACTCATGCACATTCGATTGTTCTACATAACGAATACATTCCTTGAGATAGAGCCTGATTGCAGTTCTGGTCATTTCCTGACAGATATCTGCTGAACTTCCGGACATTTATGATCACGTGGCACCTTGTTTCCCTCCTAGGTATGTACCATCGTTCGTTCTTCTTTGTCGTCTAATCTACTGTTCTACGCAATACACGTACTGGATGTAGTTGACCATTGTTCTCAATTGTTTTCCTCAGGTACGACATTTTTCAGTTGTTGGTGCAGCTGTACACGGAGCGATTCGTGACTATGCTCCGAAAACTTGGTGATAGAGCTAATAATCTGACTAACATCGAGATTTTGAAGGTTAGTTTCTATGGGGGCACACGCCTACAATATCGTGTTCTTTCGTGCTCCTAATCATATTTGCGGTCATGACCTCAGCTGGCGGGATGTTCGTCGACGGTGCTTTGGTCAGAATGTACTCGTCACTCAAGCTCTTAATACTTGAATCTGCACTCGATGCAGGTTACGGGGTGGGTGGTGTCCTATCAAGAACAGCTTTTGAACCTGGGAGTCGACGATGCTGTTGCTTCAGTATGTGCTGAAAGTGGATCGATGGATCCTCTAATGAATGCATATGTCGATCGCATGCAGGCTGCAACCCAGGTATGGAGCTGTAAATTTATTGCTGCGAACTGCTGGAGAGAAGGATGTAACGGCTTATCTTTAGAAATGCTACTATCGTGAGCAGGACAGGAGTCTTTTTAGCTTGTTGCTCTAATTCCACATTTTTCCTGCCTGTACATCTCTACCGTTAGTTTCGAATCTGACGCACGTTTCGTACACAACCATTCGGTTAACAGAAGTGGTATACCAATATATTGGAGGCAGACAAGAAAACTCCTCCAAAGAAGACTGAAGATGGGAAGTTATGGACACCGGCAGCTGTCGATCTGTTCCGTATTTTGGCGGAGCAAGTACAAGTGGTTCAGGAAAATAGCACTGATGTAATGCTGTACCGGGTTGCTTTAGCTGTTATCCAGGTATTTTCCTACTATGAGCCTTTTTGTTGTTTGGCCGAGCTGTTCAACAAATTCTGCAGCAATCGTGCTTCTCGATCTGCTCTTTGTTTTGAGCAAGCAGACAGGTGCACAGCAGGAAAGGAATTAGATTCTTGTCGCATTGAAACCGGAATGTATATCATGCTATGGTCGTAATGACTATTAACGCATGAAACTTGTTGATTATCTCAAAAACATTACCAGCTAGTATTGCAAATATTTGAAGTTGTTTGTCTGCTATTTATCCAGGTTATGGGCGACTTTCAAGTTGCTCAGAGGCAGAGACTAGAGGAGCCAGTAGCAGATATTGGACTCGAGCCGTTGTGTGCGATGGTGAGAGATGATGGATCTGATCTGAATCAGACTGGATGATGTCAAGCTTTGCCTCGTCTTGTTTTGCATGGCTCTGCTCCAGTTTCTAGCAAAGATGAAAAGTTTAGAATGCACTGCAAATTGTTAGAAGGTATAAAACATGTCCTGTAATCATGATTTCATCGTTACTCTGAAAGCTTGATCAGAGGTGGTTCTCTGATTCGAACCATGATGCCCAGGTGGGTGATCCTCCCATGTCGGAGAGTAGCATATTTTGCTGATGCTTGTCTCGGAAAATGCTGGAAATTAAAACTGGTTGGATACAAGACTTATATGGTTCACTGAGGAAGGTTTTCAAAGAGCGATTGCGTCATTCATGTCGCAGGTAAACAATAATGTTCGGTGCTACGATCTCGCAATGGAGTTGAGCAATAATGTTATGGAAGCTTTAACTCCGTACTACGCCGAGCAGGTAAGAAGCGCAGTCTGACTTTTAGTTTTGAATTGTTTTCTGAAAACTGTAATAAATTTCCGATTATGTTCTTTGTCACAGAATATGCCAGGAAACAATCCTTTCATTTGGAACTAAATGAATCACATCTTTCGCCCAAGAGCACGGTTTCCTGATAATATGTCTGTCATATCCTTCTTTGAGCTCCTTGAGTCTCTTCAGCACCCGTGCCGTTGAGTACGGCTTGTTCGTCCATTGCCACTTAATTTGCAGATGTCAACTGGAATTGATTTCTGCTAGTTTTCCGCATGTATAGTACGGCTCACCTGTACTGTTCGACTGAACATGAATATCAGCACCGGTCGTTGCAGACTTGTTCCAAACTCTTCATGAGGCCCTTAAACGTTTTTTGTATGTGTTCTCAAATGTTTAAATGAGTATGTGTGTCTACCTGCAAATTGGTATAGTCGCTTCACCCAGCAGTCTGCATATTTGTATATTTTTTGTTTTGTTCTTTTGGGTAAAATTTGCCTGATGCACATGAAGGGTATAGCTCATCTTTCTGAGATTGATCGGACGTTTATAACCGATGCTGTCCTTGATTACCGCGTACTTTCATGCTCATGCACATGCTCATGCTCATGTTATGCAATTTTCCTGTTTTATTGATCTTTTGTGTGGTAGTTGGTGGATGATTATTAAGCTGGGAAGACAGACATTTGTGAAATTGTTGTTATCAGCCTTTACGTTTCAGATGTATTGGGCGTTTGATAGTATATTTAACGGTAACTCTGCTGTGCATTACATGTTTCACAAATTGTCAAGTTTGAACGTGGTCTGTGCTTGATATAAAATGTTCGAGATTATTAAGTTAAAATTTTGGTTATGACGCAGGTCAATTTCGAGGACACCTGTAAAGGATTTTTGGAAATAGCGAAGGTAATCAAGTAGAGCAATGTGTGACATAGTATGAACTACTGATAATGGTACCCTCTGTCTAGTCAATTACAAAGTACATGTTCAGTAATGGCGAATCGATGTTTTTTTCATACCACTTTGCCTAATTTTGAAAGCTGAAAACGGACGAACGCAGTCTGTCCTAGTGGCAGAGGTATCTGATGATCTCATATATCTGTCAAAAATATTCTCAAAAAGGTCAGTTTTTACACCTGGTTGTGGATCCCTTTTATAATAAGCGTACTTGATGATAACAGGAAGCTGTGCAACAAACCGTGAGCGTGATATTCGAGGATCCAGGGGTGAAGGAGCTTATTGCCAAGCTCTACCAGAAAGGTAAGTCCTTTAAAAGATGGAGAAAAATCGAAAAATCAGAGATGTTACAAGTGTTTAGACGAGGGTTTAGAGAGACACACATCTTTTAGGTTTAGAAGACTTCGTTTATGAAAGAATGACCTGGTTTTATGATTGCGAATATGTTCGCGGATGCTCTGATGTTTCTGTGAAACGAAGTCACCATCATTGCTTTGAGATATAATTAGATTCTTGCAGAGTAGTGATGTTGGAAATATGGAGCTTGAAGCACAATATGACGCAAGAGACTTGCTGGAACAGAGTGGTACGACGGAGAAGTAACCGAGTCCTTGGTAGCTACCTTTCAAGACTATAATGCAGATATGATACTGTGAGTTGAGTATCTCATAATCACTTGCTGCTCGTCTGTCTGGAACAGAGTGGTATGAAGGGCTAGTTACCGAATACTTGGTAGCTACTTTTGGGGATTATTTTGGAGATGTAAAACTGTAAGTACAATCTAACCTCGAGAGGCATGAAGGCGCCTGGTCTACAGCTGTCAGTGTTATTTGCTTTCCTAATCGTTTTTTCTTCATGTCTTGGGTTTTTCTATGGCTTGTTTGTAAATTGCCAGAACTTGCAGTTGTCTTGTGCACCTGCCAAGCTACTCACTGGTACATAGTTTAATTCAGGTATATTGAGGAAAGGTCATTCAGACGGTTCGCGGAGGCATGTCTCGAGGAGACTATCGTCGTATACGTCGATCATCTTCTGCTGCAGGTAAGTCTCTTGCCTCCACAAATGTCTTACTCAAAGCTAAGATACTCTCGATTACTTAGATGTTTTGACCCTAAAACTGACGCTGTTGTGAGCTTTTTCCAGGTAATACAGTAAGTAATTTTACAATCCTCTGACGAATAAGATAGACCGTTTAAGCCAAAGAGATTCCAATTTTTTTTCTTTCTTAAACTCTTAGAAAAATTTAACGAAAAGAACTAGGTAACTCATGCTCATTATCGTTCAACAGTTTAAGAAAGGCTAGGCGAAGTTTTTAAATTACTAAGGTGTCTCTCAGTCCTGACTGCTGTAAACCAAACTTGCAAGAGGGCAAGGCGGAATTTTCAACTTTTGCCAAGGAAACACAACCTATGGGTTATTATTTCTGTATTGGTAGAATATTTGTGTTTCATAAGTTAGAGCTGTATTTGATAGCTTTTATCTCTTCTTAAGAGACGATGCAGAGCTGAAAGTCTTTCCCCGTATTTCTGAAGGTACTTTCCTAGGCCGCATGCGGATGCTCATATTAATGAGCATATCATGGATGTCATCTAATAGTCTTTCGTTCCTTGGCAGAAAAATTACATAAAGGAGGAGACTCTTGATAGGCTTAAAATGGACGAAGAAGTTCTTTCCGACTTTTTCAAGGAGATCATCAACGTTGCGGTGGGAGATCTGCAAAGCGATTTGTTTTGAAAATGCATCTCTTGTATTCTCACGTTGTCTCCGTACAGAGGTGTCATGGGTTTTTATCTTCTCCTTCTACGTTTCTATCGATTGGCTTCAAATGGCTATATATATATATATATATATATGTATAAAAAAATATATAAATTTATCTATTTAAATTCTGACTTTTACTTCGTATGCCCCCCACCCCCCCCCCCCCCCCCCCCCCCCCCCCCCCCCCCTTCTCGCTGTATTTCCCCCTCATCTTCCGTTGCGGAATTTTAGCAGAAAGTGGAGAAACGAGTACAGCCGTTGGCCGAACTTAGGGAGCTGGCGTCTGCAGAAAGTGTGGATGCTTTTGCATTGGCCTATACGAATTTGCTGCAAAATCATCCTGATTGTCCAGTATGTGACTATACCTGCACCTGAAAGCACTATGCTATATACGTAAATAAGATGTGAGTTTAAAAAGGACATGTGTAGACACGTATGCGGATTGATAGTTTCGCACGATCGAACAGGCGAGATGTTGTGGGTGTACGTTGAAATTGCTACATTGGTACCATTTTTGACCTTACGGAGTAAATAAGTCGGCGAGGGTCAAACTCTGCAAGCTCCAAAAACGTCTTGTTTGGTGAACAACCTTCTAATGGGTATTGGATAATTTGATTTCTTTCAGCCTGAAGTTGTCGAGAAACTCGTTGCTTTGCGCGAGGGAATCCCCCGTAAAGATGCTCGTGAGGTACGGTGATGGGTATTGACTTGGGTTTCTTAGTCTGTGTTTTTCTCGTCAGGAGCAGCTGAGATAGACAGACCAGAAAATAGTTGCACCATACTTTTTAAGTGCGAATTGGATGAGGGTCTACACAGCAGATAACGGTTGTTATGAATTGTAAATGACTGGATGTATGACCTGTGAACTTGAACAGGTTGTGGCAGAATGCAAGGAGGTCTACAATAGCAGTTTTGCAAATGGAGAGCTTCCGAAGCCAGGACTGGTTTTCAGCAGACTCACTTGCCTTCCAAAGGCGGCTCTTCGCAGAAAGTAATCCAAGTGGAGACCACTTGTTGATATAGAATTTAGTTCAGTTTCTTTCTGCAGCAGTGTTTGTTTTGACCTTTATCGTACTTGCTGCCTCAATTCTTGAGTCATTTATGCTCTATCTACTCTGTTCTGAAATTAGAGAGTTATCTCTTTATGAGAAAGGTGGCTGGCATCTGCTTTGTAAAATGTACTTATATAAGTTGTATAGAACATAGATCAATTACATGGTCATTCATAATCAAGTAGGCCTTGTCTTCCTGGCCCTGTCCTCCACACACAACTTTGATGAAGTTTCCAATGATCTGAGACGCTTGAACCGAGGCCTCCTTTCTGTTAGTCTAGTACTGGCTAGGAACGTCAGCACAAACCGGAACTGCTCTCTTTGGGTTTTTCTTTTTTCCGTATCCAAGCTAATCAGCAGATATAGAAGGAGGGCAGCTTAGTTTTGATACCTCCAACCCCCGTTTAAACAACATGAACGAGAGAAGTTTTGCAGGTCAATGTTTGACGAGTAGTCAAATATGCACTCCACCTTGCTCCACTCATAGTTACACTCCGATTTTCTTTTCGTACAGGTAAGAGTGAGTAGATTCGAGTGTAGTGGAGAGTAACTATGTGCTCTTTTTTGGTGTTCCACAAATTGTGTCAGATATATGCAGTTTTGAAGCTACTGCGAAGACTTCATCAGCGATTCAGTTCACCTATTGTAGGAGGCACAAATTTCTGCTTTCGTCTGCACTTGTTTCATAGGAGATAATCACCATTAACAAGAATACAGTTTCCTATCTATCAGGTAAAGTATCAGGTTGCCTTTGTTGATATGCCAAATTTAGTGTACCACACAAATGTCTTGGAATCATTTTATTTCCTATTACAGACGACGCCACAAGGACGTTCGAAGTTCCTACAAAAGCTAGGATCTCCATGACATACAGATATTGTGGAATAGCTCATTCAGTCATTAAAGGAAGATGGTCTTTCCCCTTAATTTGGGAGGAGACCAACATTTATTTTTACATGCCAGTGCGTGTAATTTTGATTGGATATCCATGTTCATCACTTCGGATTTTCCCCCATGTTTTATCTCACGGGTGACGCTCCTACCACCTGCGCATGGTATTAGACCGCAACTTTATTTCAAGGATGAGTTTTCCTTTGTTGTACATGAGGCACGGTCAGCACACAGGCTGTCTGATTGGCCTTTTGCAGAATTTGATGGGTCAAATGCTGCATTTCTCCTAGAGGAAATTGCTGGTTTTCATGGAGGAAATTCTTGGAATTAGCTTCATATTGCAAATTCTTAACATTCCATTGACTATCTGTTATAACTTGTTTCGCAACTAGTTTGCAGCACCAGTCTGATTTAATTGGCTTGACCATAAAGACCAAAGTGGGTCCAAAGCGAGTTTCTTCGCTAGAAGACCGTTCTAATTGTGTACGGTTGTGGCCACAGCTTCGTTTTTTCAAAAGGACTTGGTTAACAGTTTCTCCCGTCCCAATGATGTAAGTTTGGTTATCAATGAAACCAGGCCCTTTCAGCATTAAACTGAGAGTTCGCACTAGCCATGATCCGGCAATGTACTTGTGGAATAGAAGGGCGATGAATGGGAAGAACAGGGTGATGGGCGTGGGTATTTTCATGGAAACCTAGAGAGTGCACGGTCTTGTTTTTATTCTTATTGATTGTAATGCAATTCGGATCTAAGAAAAATATAACTCCATGATATGAAATGTACTAGAAGTTTACCAATAAATACACATAAGAGTACTAACTAGGTCAAAAAGGTGTATCTACATGGTAGTCGTTTACTGTAATTTGTTGCAAGATATAAATGCAGTTTCGAATTTGTAAAGAACAGTAAGAATGGGAAAAAGAGCTAACTAGAACGTAAAATTTCGTATATCTATCGTCTTCTTTTTAAATCTCGTATACTGTCATTGGTCTTTAAGCGTTTGTAATCAGGAGACAACCGTTTAGTAAAGGGCTTGCACTGAAAGTACCAATCTGTTTATCATGAAGTCTATTCTTTGGTGTTTATTTACTTTGATGTAGTACCACAGAAATATCATTCTCAAATATAATCACACCAGATACGAACTTGGATCTGAAACAAAAAGCTGAGTTCTGTAGTAATCTTCGCACCCTACTGGATTCTAATGGAGACAAACCCCATGACAACGAACAGTAAGTAGACTTGCGCGAAGTCCACCATAATGCATTCCACATCATCAAAATCCCTGCTATCTAAGTCCTGGTCTCCGGTCACAATCGTTTACGTCACACATGCATTCAGAGACAGTCTACATGACTGCATTCTCAGAACATGGTATTAGAAAATTCCGAGATTGTCAAGGACCATCTCAAAATCTTCCCATGACTAGTACATCGGAGTAACAAAAACAATATCATGAAGCTCAATGAGTGTCCAGTCTTAAAGGATGAGATCTGTTGGATCGATTGTTGTTCTAGACAAAGAAGCCACAACATACCCTCTCGCTCTAAAGTATAATCTACACACTATCAAGCGATATTACAAGTAATATGGTGATGTTTCTCAATGGTTTTGAAAAGTTTGAGAGAGAAGGTATAGTTGTTTTTGGTTGATTTTTTCCTTTCCATGGCTAGAATTCATTTTTTCACCCAAACCAATAGGATTTCAAAAACCTTGATGTATATATTGCCAGTCTATATGCGCAACTTTGGTTCTTCAGTTCTACAAGAAAATTATACTTTTTTTTATCCCTCTCATTAAGACATCATTGCGACTAGACATATGACTCATCATACATTTGACATTCCTTGCAATTTGACATCTTGAGCTGAGGAAGTCTCTCTCTTGCATCCATAATAACTCGGATGTTTTTTATACATGTTGCCCTATCTTATGTCTAGCGCGGACGTTCAAAATCCACGCCACATGCCAGTTTTGCTGCTAGGTGATCTTTCATGTTTTTGTGGACTTTCAAAGTTTTGAACCCAATCCGGTATTGAGAAATTAAGTTCCTTCAAAGTAGACAATGATGTTCTGTGAACAAAATTTAATTATTATGAGTTAAATATGATTTCAATGAGTCTCAAAAAACTTAAAAAAAATGCAAATATACAGTTTTATGTAACTCTCCAACCTTAGGTGAACAAAGAAAAATAATATTAGTACATTTTTGCATTTGAGACCCTTCAATATTTCCATCTCACTTGCCAGTCATCTCAAAAATTAGTACTTATTCCCTAAAATTCATTTCATCTTCGAAATACCTTATCACGTGTAGAATCATATTTGCAATTACGAATTGGTCTTTTTGAAATCAGATATAAGTAAACTATAACCCATGTTGATTTCACAAAAACCAATGCTAATTATGTGAAAAATTCATCTTCACACGAAATCTCAGATATCATATTTTTCATGACATCGTGAGTAGCTATCTTTCATTTTTCAAATGATCATCGAGTCATAGCAATACTTATCGCATCTTGTCTATAACATCAGTTACATTTTATTAGTGAGAATGTTGATCGATGATTGATTCCATATGAATGTTTGATTCCATATGTTGATGGATGATTGATTCCATTTGCAATGAAAAAATATAAAGTATTCAATATAGGTTCTAACAGAATCAGAATAGACTGACAAAGAGAATTTTCTATACACTCTCCATGTTTAACAAAGTGCATCATTAATATCGAAAAAAAGAAAAAGCTGATATCTCTTCAAAAGTTCCTCACTACCCTCATAATCGTGTTTATCTCTTAATAAAGAATGGACGGGGCGGGAAGGGTGGACATGGACTACTATCGCTGTCTATTGGGCAATCTCTAAAATCATTTGGTTCCAAAACAGAAAATACTATCTCTTGGAAAACACGTTTCATGAATTCTACTCTCCCGGTCTCAAATTTGCTACCTTAATGTTGTGATCTGTCTATGCATATCTCCATTCATTGTCATTCTTATAAAAAACTTGCATGACATTCCCCGTCCAGGTTGCACCTGGCCGATAGCAGATATATTGCCGAGACCCAACACCATTCATTTTACCCTATGAACCCTTTGACGATCATTCACCGTCACCCATGTTCCCATACTAGTTTTGTGATATGTGTGAGATTTCGAAAGTGCAGTTAACAAAATGATACTTTTAGTCAGGAATGTTAGCAAAAGGCCATTGCGTGGAGAAGTTTTGGAGCAATGTTGCATGAACCCAAAGCCTGAAATTTGAAATAATCACTTCCGGCATCTCGAGTTGCCTCTTTGACTCCAGCGGTTGCAGTAGATTGTACATTTTCCGACTCATCATATAATGATATATCGTTGAAAGCGGAATCGACTTGATAAACATAGATGTTAGATCCATAAGCAAAGCAATTACAAGGACTCGCATTACAAAAACTGCAGTGCTATAGCCGTGTAAGTGACAGTGGACTGGAGTGCAGCAAAGGCCAACATTTTACTTCAACTCTGCACCCAACCAGACATAACCATCAGCAGCTACCTAAGCCCACCCATAGCATTACATGTGCCCATCCATGCCCACCCATGCTATTCAAATACCCAATTGTGTTATGTGTATTAACCCCTTACACCAATTCTTGGTTGGATCTTGACAACCACTACCCTTAGCATTACTTGTGCCCACCCATGGAAAACTAATGTTACCCAAAACCCATGGGCATGGGCACCTAATGTTGGGCTCTGCGGTGCTGTTGCGATCTCATCGCGTAAAATGAATCAAGTGGGTTCAAACAAGTGTTTTGCTTTGCTTTTGTTGTCCATCAAATATTTTTCTCCTATCCTCTATGGCCACCACTGCTTTGAGGAAACTCCTGTTTACATTCTAGTCAACACCCCAGCGGCATACAGAAGAGTATGAGAAGAAGATGAACGAAAGAAGTCTCACACTCCAAAGGACTCAATCGCACAGAATGTTCTCTCTTGAGGGTAGGCTTGGCCACGGTCCGGACCAACGGTTAACCGGTTAACCGTCGGGACCGGTTAACCGGTCCCAGATTTCTCCGGATCGGTTAACCGGTCCGGGAAAAAAATTTACTCTGGCAGCAGAATTAGACCAGCGAGCCTCGCTGGTCTAATTCTACTGCAAATAAATAAGTAAATTTTTTTATCACCTAATTTGATCACCCAATTCGATAAGTGGATAATCCTTAGCATAAATCTCGATAAGTGGATAATCCTTAGCATAAATCTCGAGCTCGGATGTGTTTCTCCAGCTTCCCTGCACCCTGGCGCAAAGTCGAAGTCTCTCCAATTCGAGAACGTTTTCAACAGTCCGAGTGGGGGCTCATTTGAGTCCTCGAGCTATCGCACAATTCCTCCTTCGCTCCCAGCCACAGCCCCTCCCGTAGGCCACGTAGGGTCGGGACAGATGGTTAACCGGTTAAAACCTCGATTAACCGTTAACCGATATGGCAAAATGCCGGACCGGTTAACTTACCGGTTAACCGGTTAATTGGACCGGTTAACCGGTCCGCACATTTCCCGGACCGGTTAACCGTTAACCGGACCGTGGCCAAGCCTACTTGAGGGCATTGCTGGAGAGGGGTTGATTTAGACCGTTGCGCTTGAGAGGAAGGGAGATCACTTTGAGCACCATCAGTAGAAGAAAGCATGATGGGGCCAAGTGTTATAAATAAAAGCATTTACGAAACCGATCATGAAATAACATACAACTTCATACTAAAAAACATATGATACAAACTCATAATTTTTTGGAATAACTAACTTACCTGTAGAACATGTGATCCCATATCAAAGGTGATTTGGAGGCACAACTCCCAACGTTAGTGGTTTGGAACTTAGAAAATAAACCTTCTCATATCCACCGAAATCTTTGGTTTAGTGTGTAAGTCGTATACATGGGCCGGATTTCGTAGACCACGTATACTTTATACAAATGATTTGCCATTGAGCGTTTTCGAGTTTGGGATCGGTACTTGAGCACGTGCTGAGTGCATCAGGAAGAAGAGGTCGGAAGATTCAAGAATATGTGGCTTCCTGTCGAGGAAGAAAAGTGGTTCTTTCCCGAGCGTTACGCACGTGCACTGCAAGGGCAAGAAAGGACATGGATGAGGCCTGCAAAGGGAAACCGATGTATTGGCTCGAATGTGCAAACTGGATTGGAGGATTGGAGGATTGGCTTTTCGAGCCTAGGGCCTTGCAGTCTTGTAGTCTTGTCGTTCAAGGGTGGTCGTGGTGAAGATAATTCAGCTATGCAGAAGGCTATGCAGGTTGGAAGATGGACGAACTCATGACGAACTCTTGCCCTTTCAGTACACCCTTGCTGCCGAACGCTGTCCACCCTATGAATGCATGGAATGTGGACTTATGATTTAAGAACCATATCGTCAGCTTTTGCCTTGTGGATTGATTTGTTTTCTTTTGTTACGCTGGTCTGCTCTGGTCTCGTTCAACCGTCGCACGCACGGGCTCTTGTCCTGCCCCGCCTGTCCTTTCGACAGGACCGCAAGGACTGCCTACGGGCGGGGCTGGTTGTGCATGTGCTTTGTATTTCACGTGATTCACGTCTCATGGCATGTGCGAGTTCTCACCACAGTTTAGGGAGTTTTGCATTTGGCACACAAGTGGTGACTTGATTCCTTTCGAACCTGAAACTGCTCTTGTCCTTTCCATCTCTCTCTCTCTCGCCCTTTTTATCTGCCCTCTAGTGACCATGTAAATGTTGAGTGATTTGGTTTCCCGCTGTTCAATGTGCTCCAAGACGTAGCAACGGCATTGTGAACAGCTTGCCATCATTCGGATCATCACTTTGGAGCCCTTGTATTTGTCTCATTTCGACTGAAAATCATGTGAGAGGCCTATCTAATAATGCTGTAAAAAGTCATCTCACATGGCTAGCTTGTAGGTACTTACAAAATGGTTTCAATCCACCAGGTTTACCATTAGATCCCACATGTCTGTAATGATTTCTTGGGGTTTGTATGGTAGCGTCATTTTTTGAGATGTAATGGAGATAGTGACTCATTACTGGATCCAACTGTCACCACTTTTTTCTCATCATGAGAAAAAAGGGATGAGGATTGATACTTGAGAATCTCATGTGCATGAACATGAGATTTTACAGTGGTGAACTTGTGTTTGGGAAACTCATGAACAACTTTAATCATTCACATTGATTCTGAAAGGAAAATTTAGACTTCTTGGGGCTCTAGACATTCACGGTCCGTAAAGTGTGACCGTACACTCTAATCCTATCAGTCAAATTGAATGCAAGAATAACTGAAGGCAAAAGGCCTATAATACACTGAGAATTTTCAGCTGCAAGAGTCAAATGTGCATCTGATACAAGCTCGGAGAAGTTGTGCCATAGAGATGTTTGATGAATGTCCCTGTTATCTTCGCAGGAATTTGAGTAGTACCGGATAAGAAGGCCCTCGTCATCTGCACTGAACTTTAAGAGATTCCGTTCTACCCAAGCTACTCCAGACTTTCATATTATATATACAGTTGGAAGGTGTTTTAAGTAATGAAGTAATGAGCGTTTGATCGGAAGAGAACTTCTGAGAAATATGTGCTCGCGTCTTGGACCGAGTCGGATCAAGTTCAGGGGCCATGGCAGGCTGGACAGCCACGCCAGCGGCACTGACATGCCTCAGAGGGGACGACCTCAGCGGCTACAAGCAGCCCGGGGCCTCAAGGGCTGCTGATGCCGATTCTGGAGAAGTGGATTCGAGTCAAGAGCGAGGTCGCTGGGCGGGGTCCACGCAGTTCGTGCTGGGCGTAGAGCAGGCCGGAGCTCTGTCGCGATCTCCACTGTGCTGGGAATGAGACCGGAACACGAAAGAGCAGAAATTGTGCTTGTTCCCTGGAATCAAATTATTGAAGAAAATAGTGGCGGGTGGAAAATAGGTGCCTCCACTTGGTAGGCACTGGAAGCAGCACTGGTGCGTATATGGGCCGAAACAGAGCCAGAGTTGTCCTGCATGGCGGCGACATTTCAAACTTTTCTACCTTGTCGACAAATTCAGGACAGATAAGTCGATGGGAAGCAGCGAAGTGCGTTCTTGCAAAGTCATCGGATCCACTCTCCAAGGGCCTGGATTGATCCGAGAATCTTTCACTACGTGGGAGTCAGAATTGTTGTTCCCAATAGTGGATAGCATAGTATTTGCTGCTGTTGATGTGGATCGTGAAACTTCATCTTGGATAAGAAACAAAATTCGATGACTAGTGAAATCTAGTGGTCGCTTTCCCGAGCCCCAGCTTCAGGACTGAGGACTGAGGTGCATGCATCTGGTTCCAAAATTCGCGTATAAGATTAAGTCTAAGATGACGTTGTTACCTGGAGAGAGAAGAGCCCATCTCGCCCCGGCAATTAAGTCGTCTATCTGCCCGTCCAGGTTGTTCAGGTCGCTTCGTTCCCTGACGAAGACAAGAGAAGAGAAGTGCACCTGGTATTGTTGCTTCACGATTCAAATCTTCAAACCGTCAACTTTTCGAAAGAGGAGGTCAATTTCAAGTCCGAGCTATTCTATCAACACTCGCCATCCTGAGCACCATCATCTGCCATTTGATCAGCCGGAAGAGAGAGAGAGAGAGTGTGTGTCAGCTGAGATTCATTCCTTCACGTTCTCGACATCCGTCGAACAGGCTGTAGAATGAGCGTCCACGAGGAAATTCAGTAGCCAACCGGCGCTTTGCAGAATGAATATTCAAGTCGCAGTAGAGGAATCGTAACGTTAACCAACCATCATCACCGCCGTCGTCAAATCATGTATGCGTCAAACAGCCTGGCGGACTTTCAGTCCAATCCCGCGGAGAAGGATAGAAATATCACGTACAATCGGGTAGTGTCGATAGGCAGAGATTGCCGAACAGTGAAGGTTTTGCCGATAGAACACGACTCGCAACACGACTGGCATGAGAGTCCAAGCTCCTCCCCTCACAAGAGCGAGTCAGAACCTTTTAACCTTGCATCATGGTGGAAGCGCAGCAGTTCGACGTTCCTGGTGCGCCTGCTTCCCTGTATTGTATGGCTCAGGGCGTATAAATGGAAGGAAGATTTGAAGGCCGATGTTGTCGCAGGTATAACAGTCGGTACGATGCTCATACCACAGGTTGGTACCCTCTTCACTACCCAACTTATGTCTTACCTTCGGCAACGCTTAGCACTCTTATTTTTTTCGAGACTTTTTTGCGAGTTCGTCGTCCAATTGTGCGAATTCTGAGTTACTTTCAAACTTTTCTTTCAGTCAATGTCTTACGCAAAACTGGCGGGTCTTCATCCAATATATGGACTCTGTAAGTTTTTTCTAAGACTTCTTTCTCTTCAGTTTAAAACCGTTGCAATTTAGTCCGGTCAGAGGAATCGACCCCTCCCTACAAATTTCGTTTATGAATATATTTATCAACTCGTTACGAGGTTGGATGTGACGGACGATCATGTGGGTGGACGTCGAAGATCCCTTACCAGATCAATTGCTTATAAAGACTTGTAAATGTACAGCAGTATTAAGGCCTCTTTTGGAGGTTGTCCTTCAAATTCCGTTCTTCAATTCACGTCAAAGCCTTTGAAAGTTTGGAATTATGCATCACAGAGCTGCGATCAGCTGTATTGCCGGGATAGCAGTACGTTCAAGACAGACTGTTCTCCTTGACACTACATTCAGGTCTTTCGTTCATTCTTTTGGGTCGAAGCGAATGGTCGAAGCAGCGAAAAAAGGTCGATGTGTATGTCTAAGCATGAGTTGTGAAACATCTCAGTTCCTCAACTAGACGTTGTCAAGGAAGACTGGACAGAATCTTATCGCCTTTTTATCAGCTAATGCAAAACTGCATGACGAACGTGATGCTCTAATGTTTTGTAGCTTTCGTTGACTGCATCAACTTCTGCATTTTACCTATAACAAAAAAATGAACCTTGTTATGCTGTTGAAATTTGTTATTTGTCTGAACATTTTGAAGTCGAAATAAACAAGGCAACAACAACAAATTAGGCAAGTAAAGACGGTAGATCGTCCTAGATGTAACAATCAGTAAAATATAAATGTCTGTATCTGTTTATATTACAACAGACGTTATTTCACATATACCAAAACGGTTGAAATGTGGATCGGGTCTCGACAGTTTCATAGAAGATTAATCAGTTATCTTGCATTTAGCACTACAAGTGGCTCCTGACCAAATTTGTTGGCACCAGGCCTTCAGAGCACAGCTTTATCGTTGCCCATTTAGACTAAAGAAGAAGTTGTGCTGCTCAGTATTCTCTTAGTCAATTCTGACATACTATTCCTGGTGATCTTTGCTTTTCAAGTCATAATTATGAGGTCGTCCCTATGAATTACGAGGATTCCATAATGTTTTTTCATGCATCTATTTTATAGCTTGCCTTGGCCTCTGCGATTGAGTGAAGGATTGTTTGATTGGTGATGCTTGTTCTAGACATCCAGTAATCAGTTATCTCCTCTTTTGGACCCTGCGTTTGGTTCCTCGTCTGGACTTTGTTGGCATATGCTTTGAACTCCTGTCGATGGTACTTCATCGCAATTTTCACTCCATGGGTATCCTTTGCCATTTCTCTGGAGCATTAGAAGACGGTTAGCCTGCAGATTTCTCCATTTGTTGACAATTGAGGAAGGTTCTGCGTGAACATGTGCATCAGTATCAATTTATCCAGATTAAGTCTGTCACTGATAGTCCATTGTCTCGTCAGTAGGAAGTTTACAGTGCTTGGATGATTTCTTTGATGATTTCGCCTTTCAGTTTCAAACGCTGGTTCACCAGAAGATCACTGCAGCCCCAGAATCGAATCTACCAGCACCATAAGTGCTGGTATATTGGATTGTGAGTGGACTGTGTGTATAGCGACATTGATTAGCGTGGTATCTGCAGCTTAGATTACCTCTTAAATGTTCTCCCACATCCTTTTATCTCAGTCACAGCCCCCAAGGCCCTCATCTTTGATTGTGCTGATGTTCAGGGCATCATTGTTATATGTCCATGTCAAGCCAATTCAGAGCTACACAAATTCTACAATAAGTATGTGCAACAGCTAGGGAAAGACTACATTGTCTGTTGGGCTCAACCCCCGCGCGGTCCAGTGCAGAAACCTCTTTACTCTGTACCCACTGATGAAGGAGCTGGGGTTATGTGATTATCTAATGATGCCCATTGGATAGATCTGTTCGACGGCCCCTGCTTCCTTTCCTCGCATCAGACACGAGGAACTATTACGCACTTTGTTCTTACAGTGCGCTTGCAGAGTGCAAGCGCACTGTAAGAACACTTTGCTTTGACCATGTTCTTTTTCTGTCTCTTACATGCGCATTTACTCCCATGGATTCTGACTGCCTACTTCCCTTCTCCATAACTCGGATGCGGTTTTCTGCTTTTGGTACTGTATGAATGTTGTTGTTTGAACTTGTCGAATATTTCAGCAAGTATTTATCCCGTGCTTCTATTCTGTTCTTCATTGCTTGTCAATTACAGTGTATCGATTTATACCACTGGTAGAACCTCCGATGTTCTATCTCCGTGGTGTGTACCATTTGGTCCTATTGCATGCCTAGCCCTTTTGCTTGATCTCGTGTTTGTTCACTTGTTACTGATTAGTCCATGCTGCACCTGTCTCCCTGCACATGACTTCAAGCAAAATAATTCTCCGTATAATTCCATGCTTGCAGTTCCATTTCTGAATCGGCCGTTCTCTACATCGCTTCCTTGTTTTCCAGTCTTTTACCTGATAACTTTTGTATGCATGCTACTCTGGCTTTCTCGTGTTCTAGGCTTCTGCTTCCATTTCTTGATGGATCTCTTTTTTTGTACATCATTTTATTTGATTTTTATGGCAACCATACAATTCGTCGGTCTATTTGCTCTTGTACTCACCTTCTTCAATATTTCCTGATCATTGAGTTCAATACTAACCTTGTGGCCCTGCACTTTCTAACCTCGTTACTACCTTTACAACATTAGTCGCTCAATTGTTTACTCCTGTATTGGGTCTGTGTCCAATTTGTTCAGATTATAAATGCTACGGATGTGTCCAATCGTTCCCTGGAAAACACCCAATATGATCTTTTTGACCTTGTATTTTGACTTCTAGATGCATGTTTTGCTTTGGCCACTCGCTATTGTGAGAAGTATGTGAGTTGTCGATCCTTTTTTTAACCACTTTGGCAGTGAGAGCAATCTTACTTGGATCACGCAATATGTGATTACGATGTGTTCCAATGAAATGATTACTGCTGAAACCTGTGTTGGGTTCTTTTTAACCTTCTAGAATTTTGACATTGACCTTTCGTGAATCACAGATTCTGGCTTCATTCCTGTGATAGCGTATGCCTTTTTCGGGTCTTCACGACAACTGGCTGTTGGCTCTGTTGCAATGGTATCGCTACTGGTATCTAACGGTATCATGCCTATCGTCAGTTCTCATACGTCCTCACCGGAAGAAGCTGCAAAGTTGTATGTCGAGCTCGCAATCCATCTCGCATTCTTGGTCGGTGTAATCGAATGCTTGATGGGCTTGGTCAGGTACTAAGGTTCGTCCCCTTTATGTGTTATGCTATGTTAAAATTGCCCTATAAATAGAGGCACCAGATTCAAAACCTGCAGCTCATCTGTGTTTTGATATCGTCATTCCATCTCTGAAGCGGATATTGTTTTAATCTTGGCGGTTTTCTCAGGTTAGGCTGGCTAATTCGCTTCATCAGTCATTCAGTCGTATCTGGGTTTACTACTGGATCCGCTATCATTATTGGTCTCTCACAAGCCAAAAGTTTCCTTGGATACGAAGTCTCTAACAGCTCTCATCTTTCTACGATCGTTAAAAGCATCATCGACGGAATTGACCAGGTAATTACTGTAAACCGTGCTCTCCCGAGTGACCGCAATAGTGGATTTAGTAGTATAGAGTAATTTCAACCTTCCACCTTACGCCTCTTTGTAAGTGGATGGTTACTTTGCGGCCTATGGTGCTAGGTTCATACAGCTTGTTCCATTAGTGCTAACGTCAGAGGCAAGAATCCAGTGTTACATCTGGTTGTTTAGGTGAAAGTTGATTCTTCCCCGTCGACATTGGCTGCTGTAAAGTAGGTTTATCTACTGCACTTTTAACTTGCAAGTTTATGATCTACGGTAGCTTTCTGCATTCTCCGTCGATTCTATGATAGACTTGCGAACATATTCACATTACTTACTTCTTTCGCCCGAGAAATGATACTACACTAGATGATTGTGCTACTATTTGTGCCAATTTTTTTATGACTCAAATGTCAAAAAAATGTATAACTGTAAGTTACATGTACGTAGCGTTTCACGCGTCTTTGCTGGTTAGTCATTATTGCCTCACCACTTTAGAGAATAACTCAGCATAAATTTTTTAATTATTTCACTAATGATATTTTGTACTGATACATATTTTGTTTGACAGTTCAAATGGCAACCATTCGCGATGGGCTCTGTTACGCTGGCTGTTCTCCTTGTGATGAAACACATGGTAAGAAACTTCCCAACCAATAGATCAAGTTTCATATGAGCTAAAATCTCTTCTTTCGTCTAATTAAAATCCTAGTCGGTGAACTGTGACTAAGATGTCAGTTGATGCAGTTGGTGTCGTGAAGCTCACCACATCGCTTTTGTTTGTTCCTGTCGCATCCCCACTCCTAAATGCAGAGAGGAGAAAGTTAATGTCAGGCTCGTCACATTTACTCTTCTATGCTTTTCAGGGAAAGAACTACAAGCGATTTAGACATCTGCGCGCGGCAGGACCTCTTTCAGCAGTGGTTCTGGGAGTTGCATTTGTGAAAGTGTTCAAACCTACCTCCATCAGTGTGGTAAACATCTTACCAAATCTGTTAACGTAGTAATATTTTAGATAGAAGCTTTTCATCCGGTAGTGCATTTATTCTGTTATTCAAAGAGAGCCTCAAATGAAGGTTATTTTTCCTGGAATATGTTACTACAGTTGTTTGGCTGGTAATTAGGAGAGGAGACAAGAGAATTTGGAAGGTGGACTGTTTTAGGGTATCAGAATGAGGCTACTTTAGGACGATTGTAGTATCTATTTCTTTCATTGCAGGTGTTTGCGGTTGAAGTTGTTCTGATTACTGCATCTCATTGCTGCAGGTGGGAGAAATCCCTCAAGGGTTCCCAGCAATGTCTTTAAAGTTCGACTTCACGTACAGTTTGCAGCTGTTACCGCATGCAGCTTTAGTCAGTGGAGTCGCAATATTGGCAAGTGCTGATTAGCGCTCGTGTTTACAAATACTACAGTTGAAGCCATTTCATTGCTGATTTCCTCCTTCTTAAAAGTCAGAATATGGGAGCTATAGTGGAATCTGCTTAAATTGAACAAGAGGTACCTCGTTACCACAATTCGCTTTCCTTTCCTCATCATGTATCATCTTGCGGTACGCAGGAATCTGTTGGCATTGCAAAGGCTCTGGCATCCAAGAACGGCTACGAGATTGATTCAAACCAAGAGGTAATTCTCTGAAATATCGTTCATCCTAGCAGTAGCAGATTTTTCTCCGTGTGTTTGTTCAAGTGAAGCACAACTAGAACCTTAATTCTGAAATTGTTCTTTAGTGCTACAACTGTTTCTGACTGGAGCGGTGCCCTTCATAATCTGACTCCCATAGAGCCCACTCTGGCGGGAGGCAGCTTTTGACTTTTTTTGGTAAGTTCAGATGAAAGTAGGAGAAAAAGAAGAGAGAACTATCTGAGAGGAGGAAGACACTCTCATGGTCGCCATCAATACTCCTTGTTTGCATCATCAAGTATCAGAGAAACTTAAGAAAAATATCACACAACCTGACTTGAACATCAAAACAAGCATATAATTGACGTTCTTTGGTATTTGTAAGTGCTGGTTATAGTCATCTAATGTTTATGTTCTACGTGTGCTTTCAAACAGCTCTTTGGACTTGGCATAGCCAACCTCTTTGGAACGGCATTTTCAGCATATCCCGTTACAGGCAAGATTGCTACTCCCGCCTTTAAAAGTTTCTGTGGCTTTCCTTCAATGTCGTCTTTCGATGTTGTTAACCGGTTATTGACATTTTTTGCATAACCTATGAATTCTAGTCGACTTTGAAGATTATCGATTCACGTCACCCTCGATGTGGACAGTTACCTAACTTTACCAGTTCCTTCCACAGGTTCATTTTCCAGGTCAGCCGTCAGCAATGATAGCGGAGCAAAGTCAGGCCTTTTTGGGGTTGTGGTGTTTCTTCTTGTTGGTGCAGCCCTTCTTTTCCTCACGCCAATCTTTACAGATATACCCCAGGTGCATATAAAGTTGTACTTCTTTCTGTCTAATTCATCGTTAAATTTCGTGAGCTTGAATAGAGTAGTTTCTGCATTTAGCTTGTCAATTAAAATATCTTCAATGCTGTTGACGCAGTGCGGCTTGGCAGCTATCGTCATCTCTGCTGTCATTGGTTTGGTATGTCCTCTCCTTGCTTTTTCGTGATTCAGCGTGCTCAGATAGAAAGAAGCCCGCATTCAATAAATCACTGTTTTGTTCCCTGTCAAGGTGCAATGTGAATAGATTCAGTACCTTATTAGAAGGAACAGTCAGATTCTAATACACAGCAGTTTTACTCATGAATCACTGTCTACAAGGATGAATTGCTGTAGCAATAAAATCAGACAACTAGCGTTCTTGTGGAAACCTTATGAAACATTCGACCGAAAGTTGCTACATTCGAACTTGTTACTGCTACTAACAGTTCGTAATTTGTATTCTTCTTTCTTCATAGAATGTCGCGTGCCTTCGTTTGTAACTTGCTACCCGTCACTCTTTTAACGCAATTTGCGTCACTTATTTTAAGAACTAGCGTAGTAATATGCGCTGTCGTCTTCTGTGATCGGTAAATTGGCCTTGCTTATGCCCGGTGCAAGGTCGATGCCAGACAGCAATTACTAACCGTGTCTCGTTTCTGTTGGTTCGACGTTTTTGGCTACGAACCTTTTTGCTCATCGTTGATTATTTTTTTGTCCACTGAATGTTATCTCCTTGAACCTGGGTAGTGTCCTCTACGAACCCTCTCTGAAATATACATTTGATTAAAGTAAGCATAATAATTCGTCAGTGCCACTCAATTTCAGGTGGATTACGATGAAGCCATTTTCTTGTGGAGGGTCGACAAGAGAGATCTTCTGTTGTGGATGACAACATTCGTATTTACTCTCCTCAACGGCATCGAGGTTGGAGTCCTCATCGGGGTCAGTATCTGAACTTCATCAATTATTCTTACCATTTACAGCAATGCTTAATCTCTTTATGCGACCGACCTTCCATCCAAGGTGCGCGGATCTCCTGGCAAGAAGTAACTGCTGCCAGTGTTTTTTAAAATTATCAAAGAAGATGGTCCGGACGACAACTTCATGAGAGACCAAACGAGGCTATCACATATTACAATAAATTGTTGAATCAACAGCAACCGTTTAGAGAAATGACAAACAAGCTGACAGTATATGGATTGGAGCTTTTTTATCGAAATACTCGTCTTTGCACTACACATGTACGTTGTCTAACGTAGCCCAAACTATATTTCGTCGCTGACTTCTCGCGGACGGTTCATTGGTTCTGCCGCTATACTCTTGTGCATTAGGCATGCTGTACGTCCATGATCGTTTCTGCTCCCGAACCTGATTATAACCTCATGTGTAGGTTCTACCTTCAATAGTCGCCTGAAAAGGGTACACATTGTTCCATTACGCTGTAGATATGTCTTTGTATGTTTCGAGAAGAACCGTCTCTGTAAATTTGTATATTTTTCCGCTGACGGGATCGTTCCCCATGGTTTCATTTTTACCTCAGGTTGGCTTGTCCCTAGTGTTCGTCATATACGAGTCAGCCAACCCACATACTGGTATGTCAACATTCAAGAGTTGGTCTTTCGCTCGAGTCTGTTGCCAGTCAGACTATCTGCTGTCCCTCGGTCTTCTATGCAATTGTAGCTGTTGGTCGAATACTTTCGTGAAGTTTCTGATTGTATCTAGCAGATCTATTGACATCTTGTATTTTTTATCTCGCAGCTGTGTTGGGACGCCTACCAGGTACTACAGTTTATCGAAATACGCAGCAATATCCGGAGGCTCTCACTTACCATGGAATCGTGATTATGCGAATCGACGCTCCAATTTACTTCGCAAACACAACTGTTATCAAAGACAGGTTCGTGCCTTCTAAAAATAGCCATACGTACACAAGTACCGTATGCGATGTATCGCATACCTGATGAAGGCCGTGAGTTTGAGTTTTCATATGTTCTGGTATGTGAGGTAACAGGTATTTTACTAAGCCTGTACCTCCTAGGATATCTTGAAGTAAAGTAGGAGGACGGATTGTCAGGTCAGGTGCTTCTTGACTAGAGCTCGTCCGATGCAACACGCTTAATTCGTTTCACTCAAGTTTACGAATTTTGCTGCTCTTGGATGAGTCCACGTTGCGGGATTGTGCCGTGTACTGCATTCTGTCTGTCGTGATCGTTAGATCGAACGAATACTTGCAGATTCAGCAACGTGCATTTTTTTGGTATGCCAAGTGCTGAGATTGAGCTTCTTCGTCTCGATATTCCCTCTTGTAGGCTTCGAAGTTGTGAGCACTACCGTGGTAATAATCCAAGCCGTGGAGCTGAACAAGATCGAATCTACTTCGTGATCTTTGAGATGTCTCGTAAGTGGCCGCACACCTGTCACTGACACTACGGTTTGGAGCTGAAGAATACATATCCGCTTAGAATAGTTCACTATACATCTCTGTTTCATGTAGAAGTTCAGGTCCTGATCGAGAAGAATTCTAACGAGATCAAATCACTCACTAACACCTGGAAGTATATGTAGATTATATCTAAAGTTAAGGTCCTGAGTCTAGATAGTTTGTAAACTGAAAGTCGTGGTGTTGGTACATAACAAGGTGTGATAAAGAACAGTGTCTAAACTATGTGGCTGTTACTGCAGCCGTGACCTACATCGATTCCAGCGCAGTACATGCGATCAAGGAGCTTTACCACGACTACACAGCACGGGGCATTCAGGTACATTACCATTACCAAAGTGTGGCATGGAGTTTTCCCTTTGAAGCGCTGAATTTCAACAAGAATCGAGTCTACTTGTGAAGCTGACTGCTAATATGCGCGTGCACATGTTCGTCGGTTCTCTTGTTTCAGCTTGCTATTTGCAACCCCAATCGGAAAGTAATGTTGAGCCTTGCGAGAGGAGGGGTCCGAGAACTTATAGGCCATGATTGGTACTTCGTCCGTGTACATGATGCGGTGCAGACCTGTATGTCCATTTTAGAAGCCAAGCCCTTAAATCCAGCAAGTTCCGATGTAGAAAGTCAAGCACAAACGGAGGATAGCCAAGCGAGTAGTCAATGGCTGGGTGATTCTCAAATTCAAGTTCCCTTACTGTTAAATACAAGTGTGGAAGAGAGGTCTCGGGGGAACTAAGTACAGAAAAAATTTTATCACTCGTTTTTCGATCCACACTATGTATACAAGCCATTGACTCGTCTCTCTCCCATTGTAATAAATGCAACGTCGATTCATCTACATATAAATGTGGCCTCGCGCCAACCGAAGATTCTCTGGAATCAACCTACAGGCACGAATGCCCTACAATAGTGTAAGCCCTTGTCAATCTTTTCCCGAATCCATTCTCTGCGGGCCGAGAAGGCAGTTTGCATTGCAACAAAGCCTAGGTTATGCCACATCTTTCAACGTTTCTGATTCATTTGGCACAACCAAAAATCGGCCCTGTGCAATTCTCAAACTCCGTGTCGTCTTTCAATCTTCGCCAAGCAAAGGTGGTGTTGAAATGCCGAGGGATCCACGTCTGGTTGCAGTATGGGACTACGGCGAGATTCGATAAGACAGGACGAAAATGGGCAAAGTATCACGTAGTATGTGTCAAATGATGGTTGGTTTCGGGACCTCAGAATTCAGCGTCCTGGAGTCCAAGGGACTCGCGTAGCAGAGCAGGGGTGCACGAAACCAGAGCAGTAGGTGCGTTTCCGCAACAACAACACGTTTGAGAGAAGACAACTTCAGGAATACTCAGAACTGCGACAGTGGAGCATGGCGTATATGTGGAAAGGACGGGCCTCATGTGGCAGTGAAGAGCACTCTCACCTGTCCCTTGGGATTTCTAACATTCTTGAGGGAAGCAATCATTGTTGTAGCCTTGACATGCGCTTGGCCTTCCGAATATTTTACTGCACAAAGTCGGATGTGTCAAAACATAATGAACTCGAAACTGCAAATATTTTGACCTTTTCGGGTAATTGTGGACAAAGTCGCCGATGAAGTTGGAAACTGCTCGCCATGTCAGGACTGTGCTGGCTGACCCGTCGAGGACCAGATTCAAGAGCTGGCTGGCAAGTCGACGTTACAGTCCAGCACAGTACACGAATGAGACTGTCCGCACGACCAAGAAGAAAAAGGACTCGCAGAACAAGACCTTGAAAAATCTCTCCGGGAATGGCTCAAGGAGGCTCAATCCGCCTCTCCGTGCACGTATTGGTGACGAGGTAGGTGGGAAGGAAAGGCAGGCAGATACGACAGCGAGAGGTGAAATCTGTTTGGAAGACCGTGCGGACGCTCATGTCTCTTGATTTTATAGTTCTAAACCTCGCGCATCGACATACATTATTGTTCTTGGGCCGAACCGGACACGCCCTGCACAAAAGTTCGTCACATTCTATCGAGGCCGATGTACCGAACTATTGCTCCACGGCGTCCGGGTCTCATGCCTTGCAAAATTTTGTCAACGATTTCACTTTTCCTCACCCTCCACTCCTCTCCTCTCCTAGCGTCTCCTATCGTCTCCACTGCCGGAGCGCTGCTCGCCCCACCATGGCCGCATGTCGTCTCCGCTGTGTTGTACGTACACCACTATCCTGTAGCCATAAGCATGAGGGCTACTGTCATGGTGCAGCAAAGTGCAGCGAGCCTAGTCTACTCGATTGCGTTCCTCGCTTTTTCGCACTCCGAGAATTGAGCGCGAAAATTTTCAAAGGAGAGCAGCGGAGGTCCGTGTCGCTGCACCTACACCACGAGAAAAGTCTCGTCTCCAGTTCTAAACCTCTAGTCCGGCCGTGGGAAAGTCATGTTTCACTCTGTCAGCGAGTCAAAACAATGATCTTGCGATCGAAGAAGTGCATGTGGGGATGGCAAACGACATCGCTCGGTGGACAGACGGACAAATAATCCAAACGGGCCAGCTCCATAATTATGCGTGTGCCATGATTCCATTGACGCCCCGAGCCTTGTGCCTGTGAGAACCTTTAGCTTTAGGCCGCCTCGGCAGCACCAACCTCATTCTTCGTTCTCGTTCGTTCCTCCGGTGGAAGTCAAAATTTGTTCTCGAGAGCATTGCGTTTTATGTTTTGTTGGTCTTGGGAGAGGGCTGGGGCATCGAAGACTCCGCTTTTACTTTAGGGTCAGGCTTTAACGCGTCGAGCACATGCCCTTTCCTAACTGGCTTCGCACCTGCACATAACCATTAACCCAGAGCCAAGGTCTCAGAGCTCAGCGAGCCCATTGAATGGTTCAGTTTGGACCTCTCAAGAGTTCATCGTACCCTCTTGCTCTTTCTTCTTTCCTTGCTTGCTCGACACATCCTCGTGCTCTCTCCACCATCGACAGCATGAAATATTAATGCATTGCATTTTTTAAGTATTCACCACAGGCGCTAGCTAGAGCCCGACCACCCTCAAGTTTGACTACCATTGACATACCAGAAAAATGTGAACATCATTATGTACCTACACTAATCATGCCTTGCCAAGGTTCCTCGATTGCCTTGTGCCCATGAAAGAGCTCACACGCCCGACAGGTAACAACACCTAGTTCTCACATGGAACAATTTACTTTACAATATCCGTCGATCAGAAAAACACGCTCTCAGCAAACTTGTTCGATCCATGTTATGAACCAATACCTGAACAAAGCTTCAGCGGATCACAGGCTTCAGTTTGCCCAACAGGAAATGCTTACACGATACTGTTTCCAATTACCTTGTCTCGTTCTAGGACATTACACCCCATGACATACACTTCACATCTTCAATCTCGAATCTTGTGTGGAGGTATTATTGCTACGAGGTGAGCTACGGGATGAGGACTTTTCACTGGACGTCGTCTGTGTAGTGAAGGACGCTGCTTTCCTTGACGCCAAGTCAAAGGCAGAAGTGCATCCTTCAGGATTGCGATAACGGAAATGTGGTGATGGTGAATACTCCCTCCACAGCCATCCAGAGAAGTGAAAACTGTTGGGACTCCCGTGCTTCAAGACACTTGCCCGCTCCGTTATCTTCACTAGTCCAAAAGCAGCACATCGGCCCCGAAGCATTTCATTTCATGGAGCATTTGCTCTCGTGTTCCTCTTGCTGTGAGGCCCGATGCCTCGCTCCCCTCATCAATGTGTCCCCCACCAACGACAACAACAACTCCTTTCGCCTCTGCTCTGCTTAGAAACGCTTATCGTATACGGTCTGCGCTAATGATGCTCATGGGGCAATGTGGACAATCTACTGACGATTCTACTCCTGGTCACATCGATCATGGTTTGTACGTCCGTTCCTTGTTCCTTCGAACTGGTCCAATATTGCATGCATGTCTACCCATGTGGAGTCATCCTTTAGAAATAAACCAAAAGTCTGAAGTACTTGAATACTTGTATGACTTTCGCAGTTCCTAGCCCAGTAATATGTTTTCAATCTTCCTTCAATGTCATATATACAAATTTTTAAACGTCTTCACATATAAAAAAATTCCTCCAATTGTGTATGTAAAAATATATCAATTCATCTTATCTCCTAATTATACAGTCTCATGTAACAAATGCTAATATTTTTCCTTTAACGTTAATTATTTTACATCATCATGGTTCATGAAGAATGACAGATTATAGGTGGATACCATGAGTTCTGATCGGACGTTTCGCCAAACACCCTCTACTCTGATAGTATATCTCCCGATCTCATCAAAAATTATTTAGTTCATTCCTTGATTCAGTACTCCTTCCACGTAGCATCTACTTTATGGACTAGTGTGGTTGTTCAATGTGTGAAACTAATTGATCAGCAAACCACCTTTCGGATAAACTCGCTGGATGTTCAGATTGTGATCAACTCATCACTCAGACTACTTAAGAAAAATCAGTTTGATTTTGAAATATATTGTTTATGATTAATTCAGTGTATCAAGCATTCATCTATGTAAAACTTGAAATGATATTGAACTACTTTACATATTATCTTTATAAAATCAAGATAAATCTATAGATTTTCAAAATCTACACTACGATGATTGTACATAAAGACAATTAGATATTTTGACCTCTTGTCAAATTGTACGTTTGAACTAGAACCCACATTAAAAGCATATGTACTAAAGAGTGGACATGAGAATTATTTGACACTCTGTATTGACTTCATGCTCACAAAAATTCACAAGAATTTCATAATGGAGTTATTGATTGAATTTTGAATTGTCACGTAGATATTCACAAGACTTCTATCTAACAACTATCTAATAACAATCAAAACTGATGTAAATTAGCATCTATCAATATGTTAATTAGTAGAAATCTACATCTTACTAGATTAATAGTCTATTGAATTTAACCAACACTTGTTGATATACTCAGTATAAATAAGTAAACATGAATATGCATATTCATATCACAAAGGAAAACAATATCATTTAGAAAAGAAATTAAATCATGCATAAAATTATTATTATGAATTTTTATATATGAAAAACTTTGTAAACATTGTATTATGTGAAAATTTTAACAATGTAATTTTAGCTTAATTTTGCAACTATATTATCATATAAAATAAATAATACTATTTTGATATTTTTCTTCTTTTATACAAATTTAAATTTAAATTATTCATTTTATAGTTTCTATAAAAAAATTTCACTGTAAAATATTTCATTTTTTATTTATAACTAAAAATTATATGTAGAAGATTTGTATATTTCATGATTGCAACAAATAATAATTTTATCACTAATTTTTTTTATTATAAGAATTCTTCTTCCAAATTTTTTTTATTTTGAAATTCTGTTTTTTGCATTGTTATGAGTTGTTGATGTGATTTAAACATGTAACAAACTAATCTTATCGTTATGTTTTAAATTCTAAATCATGTAATTTTAACATTAATTTATTATATCTGTATATTATTTGTATCCATGCATTAAAAATTTCATAAGGATAATCTTATCAATATTTATACCTTATTTTCATTTATTGATTGATTTATCAAAAATTTAATTTTTATAAATCAAATAAGCAACAATGTCATCATTGTTACAGACTCCAGACATCAAACAAAGATACCACTTGGATTATATCCAAGATGATATTAAATTTATCGCATAATCAAAAAGTATAGTGAAAATTGTTATTGTGCAATGTGTGAACAGTGTAGAGAGATGCTTGATGGCAAGTCTAACAAGTTGAAACATCATGTCTTGCATTAGTGTACATTGGATTTTGAAAGTATAATTAAGTACATGCGTTTCGTAGAAAGATTTTTAAAGAGTCAACGTGTTCCAATGCAATCATCAATAACATCACAGCTAGGATTGGAATCACAACAAGTTTTTCCCTTGCAGCATTAGCAGCCAATTTTGTAAAAAAATTTAAGTCCGCCAATGAATGCAAAAGTACAAAAAAATCATCATCTGCAATTTTTCCAACAAGTAAATCTTAATGTTCATCCATAATTGC